CTAGCAGCAAAAAGAGCAACAGATCATACTAAAAAAAAAAATTTAAATTTATTTGAATACAATGAATTTACTCGAATGTTTACACCAAGCCAAACAAAATCTGAAAAATAAAGTAAAAGAAACAACAAACATTTGTTGACAATTTCATCTTCCTCAAAAGACTTGCATCTTATCCCAAACTTGTTGCTCACAAACAACTTCATCTTTCTCTACTCCTTGTAAAAAAATACATGAATCCAGTTGGTGCAACGTTTAGCTCAATATTCACCACATTTATTCAGGGCACACAAGTATAAAAAACACTTTGCATGACACAGGTCCTTCGTCACGCAAAGTCAAAAAACTTCGCACAAAAATTAGCCCAATGAACCTTCGTTGCACACCAACGGTTGCGCCAAGGCAGTGAAAGCAAGGTTTGCGCGATGAAGAAGTGCCCTACGTCGCGCAAAACTACTTTGCACGACGCAGGTCCCACGTCGCGCAAAACCACGCGCGACGTAGGTCATTTCTTCATTATGCAAACCCTTGTTTTTTGTTTTTTTGTTTTTTTGACAAATATATTTTTATTTAATTTTTAATAAATATTGTAATTAAATTCTAAAAAATAATTAATAAACCAAGAAAAAGTATTTAATTATAAAATATATGAAAATGTACATACAAGATGTCCGAACAAAAAAGAAAAAACTACAACAAGTAGTCTTCCAGGTTTAATACATCATGCTACTGGGTATCAGCTAGGCGAAGTGGTTGGGAGGTCGAAAGTGGAGCAACATTAGGTGTTGGCATCAGGATTTGGAGGCCGGACATCGCTAAGGCCCTTACAATCATACTAATCTGCTCGCCCTGGGCCGCAAGCTGACCTTTTAGGGTTGTCACTTCCTCCTTTAGGGCATTGATCTCTGCTGTGGACGATCTGGAAGAGGAGGCACCTGTCTCACAAACCCCCACCTTCCCCATACACCGAACAACCTTGCCATGACGATGACCAAACTTTTGATGTTCTCAATCGGGGTCTTCGGGGGACACTGCAATGTTGCTTCTTGGAGAACAACAGTGCGAATTGGTCACACTCCGACGACGAGTGATCAACTGCGACATCTGTACACTTTTTGAGCCATAAAAATATAACATTAGAAACTAATCCTTTCTTGCATTTGAAATTAATCAATTAGCAACTAAAGTAATATAAGTAAGTAGGTTACCAACATTAACAAAAAAAAGTGCATCAAGTGAAACAAAAAAGAATGGGTAATCCGACACTAGGAATCTGTTATAAATTTTAAAGATTATATGAATCACTATTTATAACAACTAAAACTTGTTTTAGGATGCCTAGTAAACACTTTAGTAAGCAGACATTGTAATCAATCAATGGTATCAAAACTTCATTACACTAATAGATATGATCAAAGTACCGTACAAAAATAGTTTACTTCGTACAAGCCATTCAACCAGACACATAACCATAGAGACTGACTAATAAACAATTAGGAAGGTAAGAGAAGCAACTGATGCTGTTAGCCGTTAGGGGATTTAAATCCCATAATGTTAAGTCGAGATCTAAACACCTTGAGAAATGAATGTTCAAGTTCCAATAACCAACAAAAGATAGCTTGCATAGTTCACCAGGAACCAACTATGTTAGTTCCTATACAGTCTAAGTCTAATCAATGAGATACACAATTGTTCTAGGGAAGAAGTTAGAATTGATATGCATGGATGCAACAAATATTCATGTTAATTATATATACGTATACATATATTATGCAGATCGACCTGGGTTTTTCAGCCCAACAGAGAGGACCAAATGGGATGCACGAAAAGCTGTTGAAGGTAATAATACCTAGAAATTATTACATTACAAAAACCCTAATGATATATTTAAGCATGCATTCAAATTTGAAAGTATAAAGAGTGATTTTATACCAAACTGATGAGCTTGCTGATGTTCTCTTATATAAGTGGGTCTAATATGTCAATTTTGTGATTCTAAATAGTTTAACTGAAACATAAGAGAGTACCGTTGCTAAACTGACCCTGATGTATGTGTTACTAATTAGGGAAGAACAAAGAAGAAGTAATGGCTAAATACATCACAAAGGTGAAGCAGCTGCAACAACAAGAAGTAGCCTCGACATAGATCATACAACATTAATGGAGTTCTATATCTATATCTTAAACATTTCCCAAGTGTTTCAAGAAGAAAACACATACCAGAATGTAATAAACCAATAATTTTCAATTTCCACAGCTTTTGCTTTTATAATTAAGTCATGAGGTACTGCACTTATGAGTGGAAATGTTTTTCAAATAAGAGCTCTAAACAAGCTATTGTCCATAGATTTGAACTTAAGAATTCTTCAAACAATGGAGATGCAAATCCCATAAACTAGGGCATTGAGGCTCTAATGACTTGGTTTACAAAGAATGAGATATAAACCTAGAATCTACAAATTCGCATCATAATCAATTACGTTTGTAAACTGAGACTTACTTCAAAGACTAAAAACATAAGATCCATAGAACATCAAGAATCATAAGATCCACAGTCCCAATATTTAGCAATGGTAAGAAAGAAAAAAATGTGTCGAGGAATCCTATAAACTTTACAAGCTAGTAAAAATCTGCCTCTTGTTGATAGCCAAAGACATAAGTGAGACCAAACATCTAGTTTATTTTTATTACCAACGAACACACCATGGTTAATCAAGTGAAATGTTCATCTGACTGTAAATGTGGACAAGGAAATGCTCAACTAATAAAACAAAATGGAATTTGGGGTATGCCTATGTGTATCCAGCAGCTAAACATTATATGTACATTTCCTCCAAGCATTTGAGTCAAATACTGTAAATTCTAACAAGAAAATGACTCACATAATATTATATTTAGAAAGAAAAAAATTGAGGACATTCAAAGAAGAAAATAGTTAAGGAATAGAACCAAGTCCTCGAGCAATATGCTAACCTCGGTCAATACCTACTAGTTGGCTGGGAATTGAAAATCTATACCGAAATTGCTTCAAACTGCAAACAAGAAACAACAACAATGAAATTCTTAAACCTTGAAATTCAGCCCATTTCCTAATAATTTATCCCAACTAAAAACCCTGATTCAATCCACATTTCAAAATTAAAACCCTAATTCCCATTTACAAATTTTTAAACCCTGAAATCCATCCCATGCCCTAGTAATTTATCCCAAATTAAAACCCTAATTCCCATTTACAAATTTTTAAACCCTGAAATCCATCCCATGCCCTAGTAATTTATCCCAAATTAAAACCCTAAATTCTAAAATTCATCTCAATTCACAATCAAATCCTTAATTTCACAATTTCATAATTTGTAATTAGACTTACTTTCAAGGAGAGATACGAGGGTGAGAGACAACCGACAAAGTTGTGGTGGTGATTGCATTCGAGATTGTGAAAAGGAAAGAGAGGTCTGGGTTCAAGATTTGGGGTTCGAGCTTGCAAAGAGGAGAGAGAGGTCTAAGTTCAAAATAAAGAAGATGAGGAGGAAGGCTACGGGAGAGGATGAGGAGGGTGGGAGAGAGAGGGAGAGAGAGGGAGAGATGAGCGAGAGAAAAGAGAGAGACCGAGTGAGAGAGTTCAGGTGTGGGAAACTTTTGTCCAAACTTTGGAAAATTTAAAAAAAGCGCCCATTTGCACCGCCAAAATTATCCCAAATTGCGCGACGTAGGTTTGCATCTTGACGTTGCGCAGAGCGTTTTTGCGCAACAATGACATTATGGCGTTGCGCAAGGTATTATTATTATTTTTAAATTATTATAAAATTTACTGAAAATGTGACTTTACCCTCTTTAAACCTACTTAATAAATATATGTAACATCCCAGGGAGTGGATCATGTAAGCCTTATATGTATATTCTCATCTCTACCTAGCACGAGGCCTTTTGGGGGCTCGCTGGCTTCAGGTTCCGTAGGAACTCCGAAGTTAAGCAAGTTCACGTGAGAGCAATCTCATGATGGGTGACCCACTGAGAAGTTCTCGTGTGAGTTCCCAAAAACAAAACTACGAGGGCATGGTTGGAGCCTAAAGCGGACAATATCATGCTACGGTGGAGTCAAGCCAGAGATGTGGTGGGGCCCCGGGCCGAGATGTGACATATACATATCATTCAATTTCTTAAGTGTTATACGTACAAAATAAATAAATTTAAATCTACTTAATAAATATATATACCACTGAAATTGATGGGATACGCATTGTACAAAACTAGTTTCAACGATCCCACTGTCAAACTTTTTTGTTTATACTTCGAAATCGCATACGCCAAAAATCGCAAAAAATAAACATTCAGAGATTAAGTAAAGGGACAAAACTTTTTGATGGTTAAGTAAAGGGACAAAACTTTTTAATAGTTATTTTAACTATGATTTTGATGATTTTTTATAGCAACACTCCTTGATCCATATGAATACAATGAATGAATTCAATCTTCAATTTATAATATTTACACTAGTGGATACCACAAAATCTTATGTTATACTTAATGAAAGTATAAATAAACTCTAAGTGTTAGTGAATCTATCATTTTGATGGGGTACATATTGTACGAAACTAAACGATCCAACCGTCAAACTCTTTTGTATATACTTCGAGATCGCATACGCCTAAAATCACAAAAAAAAAAAACATTTAGAGATCAAGTAACGGGACAAAACTTTTCGATGGTTATAAACGAAAAATCACGATTTAACGATAGTTTTAACTCTGATTTTGATGATTTTTTTATAGATACACTCTTTGATCCTATATGAATACAATGAATGAATTCGATCTTTAATTTATAATATTTACACGAGTGGATACCACAAAATCATAAGGAAGAAATAATTTAGTTTTGGAACCATTCATTAAGGTTTACAAAAGGTGATTAAATTTGCCTGGCTGCAGAAATTTTATTAAACTAAACTTTTAAAAGGTCACATTATATTCGCACATCAGTTTACAAAAACCATAGAGAAACAGTTCTCTAAACTTCGCTTCCTCATTTTGTATTAACCCTTCCTCTTAGAGGAATAAGAACAGTTCTCTAAACTTCACCTTAACAATAACAAAGCAATTCGTTCTGATTTCTAAAGTTTAAAGAGGGGAAAGCTACATCTGTTATCTTTCAGCATAGGAGAAAATATCAAAAATCCTCATTTTGTGGGCAATGCTTGGGAAGGCACTGTCTCATAAGCAGCAACTGTGGATGCAGAAAGGAGAACAAATTACACTCAAGTGTTCACCCATTTGCCACAATCTCTTGGATGACATCACTGGCAGCTCCATCCTTTGATTTGACAGTAAGTTTCATCGCAACATCCTTCCATGAACTATCAATTCCAAATAACAACCGCACACGAACCTTGAGATTTTGCAGAATGCAATGCATATTTGTCTAGAACCAATCCTTTCTTATCAGTGACACCATAACACAACAAAAGCTGCACAGAGAGAGAGAGAGAGAGAGTACATAAAGTCAACTTACAATGTAATCTGCTACACATGCACAAGGAATGTACAAAGCTAGATTATCTAAGGCCATTCGACTATGTCACGATACAATTTTAGTAAATGGAATCTGATAACTAATGAAGTACAAGGCCTGCTTGCACATGAATGGCCAAGATTATTGCGGTTTCAACTATACAATGCTACGCTCATGTGCCCCAAATTCACAACCATTAGGCGTCAACAACTCAGCCCAACAAAACCAACTTCAAAAAAGCTTTAGGAGGTAACTAAAATAATTAAGACTGAAAGATACAAAAGAAAATTGCAGTACTGTCAATCTGAAAAGCCAACGAAACTATCAAGCTCTCCAAAATGAGCCTGAACAGGAGCCTTAGATTTAGCAATCTTTGATGGCGGCACTCCATAAAACGCAATGACAGCATCAACGTCAGGGAGCAAAATAGAACTTGCAATTGAGGGAGCACTACACATTCAAAATCCAGCAACACCACTTATTTTGACTAAACAATAGGTTAATTTAGCAAATGACTTCACTTTCTAAAATTCATATCACTATAAATTTTACACACGCGAAGGAGGACTCGTTTAAGAAACATGGCAGAAGCTTACCATATTTTGTGGCCAAACTGTTCTCTGGTGATTTTTGTTACAGTACAAACTAGACATAACAATTACCGCATACTAAGATTATGTCTTAAAAGAAATCATACAAAAATGGCAACGCATCAAGTAGATACTTAGCATATGCAGCAAATTATTCAACCAACACATATAATATTAGCAAAAGCTCAACGGATTTAATCCTTACTCTATTTCTTGTCGCTCTTGGTTATCTATTGTCTACTGCTGTAGTTGCAGCTCAGAGTTTCAAGCTAGATGAAGAAGAAATCCAGAAATCTCAGTTCCCAGATGGCTTCTTGTTTGGAGCAAGCATTTCATCTTATCAGGTAACCTTCTTCTTCCTGTAGTTATTTTTTATCTTTGGGCTAGAATTCTATCTGGTATGTTGTTTTTATCTAGTCTTTGTCTTAATTTGGATTATTCCGGTTAGTCTTGTGCTTCGTACTTTTATTTGGTTGTATTAATCTTGACAGCATGGTTCTTAATTTCAACATCCTCTGTAGTTGAGGAATCTTGACAGCATGAAATGTGAGGAAACATGACCATACACGAAAAATAGTCAAAATGTTAAAAGAGAAATCTGCAGTGGAGCACAAGTTCAAGGGAAAATGTGGAAAAAAATAAAAAATAAAAACTCAATTCTCATTCATAAATCCAAGATGATCCAAAAACAAAAAATGAACATGATGGACCAGAAACCGTTAAGGGTCTTTTCACTCTCTTCTCTTTAACCAATTACCACCACAAACTGCAACGAACAACAAAACTATGATAGGATCCCGTAACGGCTAAGGTATGCACAATCACAAGCACAAACGGTAATGATTACTGAAAGGAAATAATTAGTTGAAATGCTACAAGTTGAAGCAAGAATTAAAGAGCATCAACAGGCATACAATTTAGGTTCGACTCTGTACAACTAAAAAGGAACAAACATCTCTAATCAAATCAAAAAAATTGAAGACTTTGATCATGAGCAGCATCGAAAAAACAATTGAAACGACAGGATAGAGGGTTTGGGAGCTTACATTGGTCTGTAAATTGACTTGGGAGCTTACATTAGTAGTTTTAGATCGAGGAAGGGAGAGGATTGGAGAAGGTTTTGAAGAGAGATGGGGGAGGGAGGTAGCTGCTACAAATGGTTTGCAATTTCCGCCTCCCAAACTGATTAAGTGAAGGGAAAAAAGTCATTGACTTTGTGCGATGAAGATTGGCGTCGCGCAAAACAACTTTGCGCCATGCATGTGCACCTACATCATGCAAAGCTAGGAAAAAAACAGTAAAGCATTCTTGGTTTGGCACCAAAATCATGCACAACGCATCAAACATTGCGCAAATGGCCTTTGCGCAACAAAGACTGGCGTTGTGCAAAACTGTTTTGCACAACGAAGGTGCACCTACGTCGTGCAAAACAGTTTTATGCGGCGTAGGTGCAACTTCGTTGCGCAAAGTGCCGTTGCGCAAGGGTCGTTTGCGAGACGTTTTTGTGTTTAGCGTTGCGGAAACATACTTTGTGCGATGAAATTTGATGCGTCGCTCAAACTTGTACTAGTGGCAGCATGCATACAAAAAAAATAAAAAAAAAAAAAAAAAACTTGAGCACATAATGGACACTATCTGATCTATGGATGCAGAGACCATGCTCATTCTGGGTTAAGCATTTATACCTGTATTTCTGAGATCTGTGGACATCGTGGTTGTCGTTGCTTATTTTTCTTGCGGATTTAAAGTTTGACATTGCTACCGTTCCTTGTGTTCGCCAACATCTCCTGTCATCGCTTACAACACAAGCTCACGGACATACAAATACATTAGGCTCGAATTTCACTATTGCATTTGTGCTGGAATTAAGAAATTAATGAGGAGACAAGATCGATGTATTTTACCTTTGTGCGTAGGAAAACTGAGACAACTGAAATAGGTGAGCTGGGCTCGAGTCTGCGAAGAAATGAAGGTAGATTTGTGTTTAGATTTGCAGGTTTCAGAATATGGAGCTGCAATGCGAAACCAAAGAGAACTGATGGATGATTTCAACTTGGACGGATTGATTTGATAGAAAATAGGGGAAGCTTGGGGTTTTGATTGCAGGCGTGTGAGGTTTTTCTGAAAGCAAGAAGAATGGAAGAAATTGCAGGAGAAAAATGGAGAGAGATAGGGTAAACGGCGCATGAGGAATGGCAGCAATGAGAAAAAGGAAGCTGATAACTTAGCTTATATACTAACTTGCTAGGGTTTCTCCCACGTGAGTGCACTAGCATGTGTGGCTCCAAATTAGGCCTGGCAATTTCTGACACGACCCGATAACCCGACCCGACACGACACGAAATTAACAGGTGTTTGAGTCGACACGATAACGAATCGGGTCTTATCGGGTAACCCGATAAGCACCTGTTAAGATAACGGGTTGGTTCGGGTATACACGTGGGTAACACGAAACACGATAAGCAGAATATTATTTTTATAATTTTATAACCCTAAAAAAATACTGTAATAATTATATACATTAATTTTACAATTTTATACCCCTAAAAATTATAATAAATATATATATATATATAAATAATTAACTATAAAATTTATAATAATTATAAATTTATAATAATTATATATACTATAATAATTATACTGTCACATCCCGGCCCGGGGCGGAACTACTTCCCGGGCCCGACTCCACTACCGTAGCACGATATTGTCCGCTTTGGGCTTACCATTCCCTCACGGTTTTGTTTTTGGGAACTCACGAGCAACTTCCCAGTGGGTCACCCATCATGGGATTGCTCTAGCCCTCTTCTCGCTTAACTTCGGAGTTCCTACGGAACCCGAAGCCAGTGAGCTCCCAAAAGGCCTCGTGCTAGGTAGAGATGGGAATATACATATAAGGATCACTCCCCTAGGCGATGTGGGAGGTTACAATCCACCCCCCTTAGGGGCCCGACGTCCTCGTCGGCACACCACGGCCAGGGTTAGGCTCTGATACCAAATTGTCACATCCCGGCCCGGGGCGGAACTACTTCCCGGGCCCGACTCCACTACCGTAGCACGATATTGTCCGCTTTGGGCTTACCATTCCCTCACGGTTTTGTTTTTGGGAACTCACGAGCAACTTCCCAGTGGGTCACCCATCATGGGATTGCTCTAGCCCTCTTCTCGCTTAACTTCGGAGTTCCTACGGAACCCGAAGCCAGTGAGCTCCCAAAAGGCCTCGTGCTAGGTAGAGATGGGAATATACATATAAGGATCACTCCCCTAGGCGATGTGGGAGGTTACATATACCCCCAAAATATTAAGTCCATCTATAATAATTATATATATATATATATATTAAATTTTATAAAAACTGTAATAATTATTAATTAATAATTTAATATGCATGATCATGCATTGCATATTTGCATGATTTTGCATCCATTGAAATTTGATGCGTCAGACTCAGATGTGATTTGTTTCCATTCAAATTTCAATAATCAATTTTTTGCCATTGCCATTTGCCAACTTTGCCGCCCTTTTTGAAAAAAAAAATGGAGGGAAAATGAAAATGTTAAGAAAAGTTGAAAATAAAACAAAAAAGTGAGGGAATTAGGGAAAGATGTTGGAGGAAAAAGTGAAAATGATAAGAAAAAGTTGAAAAGGTAACAAAAAAGAGAGGGAAAAATGAAAATTAATAGAAGTGGTGAGAAATTTTTTTTTTTTTTTTTTTAAGTTATTAACTATCGTTTTACGAAAAGTGAGGGAATTAGTCAATCTATCGTTTTACAAATTCTTCAAAACTAATTTCAACGATCCAAACCATCAAAATTGTTTGTATATGCTTGGAGATCACTTCAGCAAAAAATCACAAAAAAAAAACATTCAGATATCAAGTAACGGGACAAAGCTTTTCAACGGTTATAAACGAAAAATCACGATTTAACGGTTATTTTAACTCCGATTTTGATGATTTTTTATAACTACACTCATTGACCCTATATGAATACAATGAATGAATTCGATCTTCAATTTAAAATATTTACACAAGTGGATACCACAAAATCTTATGTTATACTTAATGAAAGTATAAATAAACTCTAAGTGTTAGTCAATCTATCGTTTTACGAATTCTCCAAAACTAATTTCAACGATCCAAACCGTCAAAATTGTTTGTATATGCTTGGAGATCACTTCACCAAAAATCACAAAAAAAAAACATTCAGAGATCAAGTAACGGGACAAAGCTTTTCAACGGTTATAAACGAAAAATCACGATTTAACGGTTATTTTAACTCCGATTTTGATGATTTTTTATAACTACACTCATTGACCCTATATGAATACAATGAATGAATTCGATCTTCAATTTAAAATATTTACACAAGTGGATACCACAAAATCTTATGTTATACTTAATGAAAGTATAAATAAACTCTAAGTGTTAGTCAATCTATCGTTTTACGAATTCTCCAAAACTAATTTCAACGATCCAAACCGTCAAAATTGTTTGTATATGCTTGGAGATCACTTCAGCAAAAAATCACGAAAAAAAAACATTCAGAGATCAAGTAACGGGACAAAGCTTTTCAACGGTTATAAACGAAAAATCACGATTTAACGGTTATTTTAACTCCGATTTTGATGATTTTTTATAACTACACTCATTGACCCTATATGAATACAATGAATGAATTCGATCTTCAATTTAAAATATTTACACAAGTGGATACCACAAAATCTTATGTTATACTTAATGAAAGTATAAATAAACTCTAAGTGTTAGTCAACCTATCGTTTTATGAATTCTCCAAAACTAATTTCAACGATCCAAACCGTCAAAATTGTTTGTATATGCTTGGAAATCACATCAGCAAAAAATCACAAAAAAAAAACATTCAGAGATCAAGTAACGGGACAAAGCTTTTCAACGGTTATAAACGAAAAATCACGATTTAACGGTTATTTTAACTCCGATTTTGATGATTTTTTATAACTACACTCATTGACCCTATATGAATACAATGAATGAATTCGATCTTCAATTTAAAATATTTACACAAGTGGATACCACAAAATCTTATGTTATACTTAATGAAAGTATAAATAAACTCTAAGTGTTAGTCAATCTATCGTTTTACGAATTCTCCAAAACTAATTTCAACGATCTAAACCGTCAAAATTGTTTGTATATGCTTGGAGATCACTTCAGCAAAAAATCACAAAAAAAAAACATTCAGAGATCAAGTAACGGGACAAAGCTTTTCAACGGTTATAAACGAAAAATCACGATTTAACGGTTATTTTAACTCCGATTTTGATGATTTTTTATAACTACACTCCTTGACCCTATATGAATACAATGAATAAATTTTATCTTCAATTTAAAATATTTACACAGGTGGATACCACAAAATCTTATGTTATACTTAATAAAAGTATAAATAAACTCTAAGTGTTAGTCAATCTATCGTTTTACGAATTCTCCAAAACTAATTTCAATGATCCAAACCATGAAAATTGTTTGTATATGCTTGGAGATCATATCGGCAAAAAATCACAAAAAAAGAACATTCAGAGATCAAGTAACGGGACAAAGCTTTTCAACGGTTATAAACGAAAAATCACGATTTAACGGTTATTGTAACTCCGATTTTGATGATTTTTTATAACTACACTTCTTGACCCTATATGAATACAATGAATGAATTCGATCTTCAATTTAAAATATTTACACAAGTGGATACCACAAAATCTTATGTTATACTTAATGAAAGTATAAATAAACTCTAAGTGTTAGTCAATCTATCGTTTTATGAATTCTCCAAAACTAATTTCAACGATCCAAACCGTCAAAATTGTTTGTATATGCTTGGAGATCACATCAGCAAAAAATCACAAAAAAAAAACATTCAGAGATCAAGTAACGGGACAAAGCTTTTCAACGGTTATAAACGAAAAATCATGATTTAACGGTTATTTTAACTCCGATTTTGATGATTTTTTATAACTACACTCCTTGACCCTATATGAATACAATGAATGAATTCGATCTTCAATTTAAAATATTTACACAAGTGGATACCACAAAATCTTATGTTATACTTAATAAAAGTATAAATAAACTCTAAGTGTTAGTCAATCTATCGTTTTACGAATTCTCCAAAACTAATTTCAACGATCCAAACCGTCAAAATTGTTTGTATATGCTTGGAGATCATATCAGCAAAAAATCACAAAAAAAAAACATTCAGAGATCAAGTAACGGGACAAAGCTTTTCAACGGTTATAAACGAAAAATCACGATTTAACGGTTATTTTAACTCCGATTTTGATGATTTTTTATAACTACACTCCTTGACCCTATATGAATACAATGAATGAATTCGATCTTCAATTTAAAATATTTACACAAGTGGATACCACAAATCTTATGTTATACTTAATAAAAGTATAAATAAACTCTAAGTGTTAGTCAATCTATCGTTTTACGAATTCTCCAAAACTAATTTCAACGATCCAAACCGTCAAAATTGTTTGTATATGCTTGGAGATCACATCAGCAAAAAATCAAAAAAAAAAAACATTCAGAGATCAAGTAACGGGACAAAGCTTTTCAACGGTTATAAACGAAAAATCACGATTTAACGGTTATTTTAACTCCGATTTTGATGATTTTTTATAACTACACTCCTTGACCCTATTTGAATACAATGAATGAATTCGATCTTCAATTGAAAATATTTACACAAGTGGATACCACAAAATCTTATGTTATACTTAATGAAAGTATAAATAAACTCTAAGTGTTAATCAATCTATCGTTTTACGAATTCTCCAAAACTAATTTCAACGATCCAAACCGTCAAAATTGTTTGTATATGCTTGGAGATCACATCAGCAAAAAATCACTAAAAAAAAACATTCAGAGATCGAGTAACGGGACAAAACTTTTCAACGGTTATAAACGAAAAATCACGATTTAACGGTTATTTTAACTCCGATTTTAATGATTTTTTATAACTACACTCCTTGACCCTATATGAATACAATGAATGAATTCGATCTTCAATTTAAAATATTTACACAAGTGGATACCACAAAATCTTATGTTATACTTAATGAAAGTATAAATAAACTCTAAGTGTTAGTCAATCTTTTGTTTTACGAATTCTCCAAAACTAATTTCAACGATCCAAACCGTCAAAATTGTTTGTATATGCTTGGAGATCACATCAGCAAAAAATCACAAAAT